ATATATATATATATATAAATCTTGAACTCATGAACCTCTTTGTCAAATATGAACTACATCGGGCTGTCCCTTAAAAAGTTATAGCAAATCAAATCATTTCGGTGAGTACAGGAGAGATGTTCCAATGAGATCAGGGCATTCGTCCCATCAGAGCGGCTATACGGTCGCCATCTCGCCTCGGTTGTGCACTGCAGAAGAAACCTCATGAGATCCTCATGAGGTTATCGAAGGAGAGGTCTCATGAGGTCTCACGAGGCCTGATCCTCATGAGGAACGGCACAATTCTCATGAGAAGGTCGCGAGACCTCATTAAGTACCTCGTGAGGATTATATTACGAGAATTTCCTCATGAGATATTCGGTCAACTTCGTGAGAAATTCGTGAGATCTCATGATTAAGTCATGAGGTCTCATCAGACCTCATGAATTTGTAGCGAGGTTTTTTTTCAGCAGGGATGTTATACGTGAAGTTCAGGTGATGCCTGAAGCCGTAGAGCGGGACGCAGTCACGGCAGGGATTCTGGATGAAATCCTCCCTCAACCCCGCAAACGGCCAGACCGGCTTGTCCACGAACGACCCGAACTCGATCCGATAATTCAGGCTCAGGTTCGTCAGCGTCTTCGCCAACTCGTCCCGTGTGATCACAAGAAAACACCGGATTGCGTCTCCATGGAGACGGGAATGCACCATCGGATTGCGAACAGCAGACCGTGGAACGTGCCGTAAGTACCGAGTGAGGTTCGGATGTACGTTCTAAGACGCGTCCTTCGAACGGACACGAATCCGAGACCTTCGACTCCGTCGTGCACGAGGAAGGTGCACATAAGTACCAAAGTACAAGGTAAGTATCAAGCTACGAGTCGTCCGCGTTCGGGAGCTCGGACGCGTAATCCTTCGATCAGCGTCCTTTCCGTTCCGTCCTCGAGGGTGAGACCTTACCGATTTTCTTGAGGGTGTCCAAGTGCGGCTTCATCGTGTTGGTCAGATCCATCAGATAGTACAGATCCCGAGGATGATTCTTGCCCATCGTGTAAGTCGGCTTCACGCTCTGCTCCTCGCCTGCAAGGTTCGCACCGGTCAAGGGCATCGAGGTGAGGATTCAGCAGAAGAGATATCCCGAGTCGTACCTGGTCGGAGGATGACGTCGACCCTCGAGGGTTGGAGACTCCTTTGCCTTGTCGTTCCAAGGTCGCCCTTCTCCTCTCCTTTCTACGTGACGATGCCGTTCGGAGAGCAATCGTGTTCGCGGAGTCGCTCGTACGTGTCGCAGCGGGGCCAGTAATCTTGCAATCGACGCTCCCACTACTCCCACTCCTAGGCGTTCACACGTAAGGCATCATCGTTCGCGTTGGCGGTGATCAGACAGACGCTCCCTGGTACTCCAAAGTCGCGTCCTGAGATCGACGTACGGCCTACAGGTCGACAGCAAGAACGAAACGCTTGCGGTCGTCGCGACCGGAGAACGACATCGAGTCGGGAAAAAAATGAGCTCACGTCATCGTGACGCATTCACCCATTGGCCTACATTCTCCGGGGTCGATTTCCGTTTCCGACAGACGGGTGAATGAATTCGGACTCGTTCACGATGACGGTGATTCGAGAGATGCCCCCTCGTACCCTTAAGTCACGTCGAGAGACTGGCGCATGGCCTACAGATCGGGAACTCGACGCTCGCCGGTCGTTGCGAGCAGAGGCTGCGACCGGAGAGCGACATCGAGCGGGAAAACAGTGGACTTGCTCACGCAAAGACCTTCCTTCTTTCTGGACGGCCAACTGTCGAGAAAGATTTTAAAACTTCGCCTCTTCGGTGGAAATACGAATATTAAAATTCGGGCATCGACCGACGGACGAGACGACGACGACAACGACGACGAACGACGACGACGACGAACGACGACGAACGACGACGAACGACGACGACGACGAACGACGACGACGACGAACGACGACGAACGACGCGGTGACGGGCGACACGGCGGGAAGAGACTAAGATTCACGATCGCAGCCTCCGGTTCCGCTTCACGCAGGCACAACCCTCCGAAAAGACTCGAAAGCGTTTCGCCTCGTTCGCGTGCCTTGTCGTTTCCCCGATAGCACCGAATAAACTCACAACGGACACTACCCAAGTGTTAATTTCCGGTTTCGACCGGAATTCGGTCATCGAAAGTACACTCGATACGAAGTCGAACGGAACCAAAACATGCGGCAAAGAGGCTCAATAATGCTTACTGAGCAAGCAGAACTCCCAGGACATCGATCGATTCGCACGAGATCGAGCCGAAGGATCACCTTCAAGGTAAGTCTTTCTCTGATCGCTTCCTCCTCCTCTATCATGTATCACAATCGTATCAGGGGGAATTGGATTTTCTTCGTTCCAACATTTTACATACAGGGTTGCTATGAAGTCACCGAAATGATTTGATTTGCTATAACTTTTTAAGGGACAGCCCGATGTAGTTCATATTTGACAAAGAGGTTCATGAGTTCAAGATTTATATATATATATATATATATACCGCAAGATACGCATGCCCAGAGGGCGCTATGGTCGACTGCAGCGCTCCCTATTTACGTGCGACGCTATTTTTCGAGTACGAAAAAGATGCGGCTTAGGCCAACGCGTTCTTTTTGCCTAACATCAGCCGTGTCCGAGAGTCCTTGCAAAAGAAGTGGTGAAATAAAGGTTGATGGTGACCTGTAACCATCCAACTTTTCTAACCGTTGGGGTGGCGTGAAGGAACGACACTCGCGCCGTCGTCGGTCGCCGAGCGATTTTTGCCATCAGCCGAGTGACCAGGTTCGGCGTCGGGGCACGTGTTCTTTTTCCTCGGAGACGAAACGAGGAATCGTAGATCAAATTGAAACGTATCGGAACCTACTAAGAACGATCGTCACATGATGAAACCGAGTGGGAAAAAAATGATGCGGCCAACGCAAGCAAAGTGTACCGAGATTAGGGGTCCCGTCTAGATGTGATGCAGACCGATAAAAGAAAAGTAAAGAAAAAATGATCGAGGAATTCGTTCATTACCCTCAAACACGAACCCTGTACCCTCGCTAAAACGGCAACGATCCCATCGCTACGACTCGAGAGCAGCTAGTTTTGAGGAGTTCCACACACACGTAGAGGAACGATAGAATAGATTCGATGTGCATGCAAAATATGAAAAAAGCCGATGCAAAACCTGAACGTGCACAAACTAGCGCAACCGGACCGATCGTGCAGACACAGATTCCCTTCTGGCACTCGCATATCGTCTCCACGCGGATGAACGTCTTCTCACGGAGCCCCAGAGAACTCACTGCGATCTACCGCACCGTACGAACCATCACGATACACGTCCACGAGCTACTCCTAACGACATCCGACGGAGCACTGACCCACGTGACCCTCTCCTCCTTCGGCGGAAGGAGATGTCCGGGACGAAATCCACGCTGTTTCCAGAAGAGAGATACGGTGAATCCTTGCGTCTCCTTCGGCTTCCATCCCCTTTCGAGACAGGAAATCCAGAACCATAGGTATGGCGCTTGGGTCGCGTCGTTCTCGAACCGCACCACGGACGTAAGTTTCCGCCCCAGACATCGACGATCACCTCGTGCGAAAATAATTTTTATGTTCCTGTCGGATTTTCTATGGGCGTCGAGCACTCTCTTAATTTTCAGGAACTCCGATACCTGAGGTCCAGCTCCTGAGTGGCGTCGACCGCGAACGGCACCACGTTCGGCCCGCGTCATCGCGAGAATAGAAAGTCTAGGCCCGTTGGAAATTTCAGTATCGTCAAGCACTGTCGTAGTTTCCGTCGGGTGCGAGCAACTTTTGCCTACGATTTTTTGTTGCCATCGGACTACAGTTCTGTCTATCGTCACGTGATTTTACGTTACCAGCTCATGCGATACATTCAAAACTTTTTTTCCCTCAGCTAGCTCGCTTCTATGGACCATCCGACCTGCCAACCTTCGCGCCTCTCCCCATATAGGGAGAGACGCGACGAACTCTACCCTCCGAATCGAAAAAGACGCAAAAATCCCAATAATTCCATCACGACGATTCGAGAGCAAGCTGCTTCGACGAGTTTCAAACACGTGCAGAGAAACAATAGAATCGATTCATTCCGCATGCAAAATGTGAAAAAAGTCCATGCAAAACGTGAAGATGCACACACTTGCGTGACCGGACCGATCGTGCAGTTACATCCGTCCCTCGTCGACCTCCTCGGGGACCACCTCCGCGTCTCACAGCTCCGACCGCAACCCATCCGGCACCTTAAAGGTCGTGACGGCCGGCTTGTGCAGCGGGTTCAGCTCCGTCGCGAACCTCGTCTTCTCCTGCTCCATCAGGAAATGCTGATACTCCCGGTTGTCCTTGATCGTGAAGAACAGCTTCACCAGCCCGATCACGAGCAACCCCAGCAGCAGTGTTCCCACCAGCGACCCGCCGATCACCCATGGGTATTTCATCCCCCCGGTACACTCCTACGCACCGATTCCACGTTTAATGAATTAATTAATCAATTAAATGAATCGAACGACTCTGATGCTCACCCTGACCGTCGAAGCCTCGATCATCACCTGCTGGTTCGAGTCGAAGTAATAGATGAACTCGTATCGGCAGCCGGTCTCGTCCATGAACCCGCATCTGTCTCGTTCCCCCTGCAAATCATCTACCGCACGAAATTCCAATCACCTACCACACGATCGGAACTTCTCCAGGAGGAAAACGAAAAAAATAGAGGATCGAAACCTTCTTGAAACATCCGGTCGATCTCGATGATGGGCATGGAACAGTTGGCGTGACAATCGCTTCCCATCGGTCCGGATTGGAAGACCCGACACTCCACGCAGTCCCGGTATCGCCCGCACTGCTGCCGGCACGTGGGGCATACCTCGCAGTACTTCCCATGGTACCTGCACGGTGCAGATCGGAGGGGTGACGAGATTTAGCTCCCCAGAATCTCTCTTCGCACTTCCACCCCCCCCCCCCAACCCCACCCCCCCTTTTTGCCTCCAAATGAGACTCGAGTAACGGCATCGGAACTACGCAGTCTGCTCGAAAAAGAGGGACGCCCCTGACGGTTCTGTAAATATGACATCAGAACCATGAAATGAAAGCGGAAAGAAAATGAATTTCCTGGAATGGAACGAGGAGTCACACCCAGCAGTTTATTACAAGGTACACTCGGCAAATACTGGCCTTACATTGAGCTAATATCACGTACTGAATCTAAGCAGGGTCAATATTGCTTAAGTATACTTGGGGAATACAGGACAGGAAATAATCCAGCCTGAAAAGATTCCGATGTTCCAGTGAATCCTGGCTGTAAATGGAATTTTCTTGATGAAAAAAATCCAACTTCGGCCGAAATATTCACCGATTCGGAGATCTGTACCCCCAGAAAGAAAATTCCCGGATGGTTTAAGTTAGGAATGTCAGTCGGCGAGCCGCACCCATAATTTTTAATTGAAATATATCATTAAGTCAGTTTTCCCCGTTCCAACTTTGGGACGCACCAAATTTAATTTTAACTCATCGATGACAGTTGTCAGTATGTACGCGCTTTTAAATCTGCGGACGGAAGAAAATTTGTTGGAACAAGCACCCAGACGTATGAACAGAATTCGATTCATCTTTAAGAAAATATGTGCAATAGCTCTCATGAGAAAAAAAAAGAAGAGATTTCATAGTCACACGAGGCAACAGAACGCACCCACCCAAGTGATACTTATTACACGACGGGTGACTCGAGAAGGAATCGAGCATGCATCGATTCGTTCGCACCTGCAACAGCAGCAGCAATGCAGTCGCGATTGCAATATGGCAGGCGAGTGAATGAAACCGCCGTGACTGCTGCGGCTCGTCGACGAACCCTCTCCATTCGAACGGTGACACATTCGAATACTGACGGCCCTGGCCTGGGTCGACCAGGAGACCAGGAGATCGAGAGCCGATCCAGGTCATTTCAAGAACAGACAGGGGGCCAGATGAACAACCTGCGCGGGCTGTATGTTTGACACCCCTGGGTTAAATAACAGTGATTCTTTTCTGTTGACAATTTTGAACTTAAAAAAGAGGTTCTGCAAGAAATCAAGGTCAAAGGTCATTGACAGTAACCAGGGACGTAGCCAAGAAATTACTTTCGGGCTTCTGAGGCTCATGAGATGACGAAGTGGCCGAGGATGGTGATCGGTTGGGAGGAATGAGGAAAATTCGAAAGCCCTTTTGAGACTACAAGCCCACCGACCTCATAGTTCAAAATAGCCCTTTCTTCCAAAATTTCGATTTTATTTTTGCACGAAAATATATGGGTCAAGGACTGACCTTGAATTAGTCATAACTTAGTGGGTGAAAGCCACTTCTAAATCATGGTTTGCTACTGGAACGAAAAAAACTGGTAGAGAAATGGAAGCAAAATGGAGGGGGGACGGGACAGTATTGGTCAAGAGTGATTGTATTCAGAAGGTGTAATAGGAGTACAAGTCAAAACTTCAGTTATATATATGAAACTTTTCACGCTCCCCCACCCACGCCTTGTTTGTGATATCTTGCTTCATTTCGGGGGGTGTCCAGACCCCGAGGACAGCCCCCTTGGCTACGTCCCTGACAGTAATCAGATAATTGTTTTTAAAATAACGAGCCGTTACTTTCGTGAAGATGACGAAGGGGGTCATTCCGAGCTCTCAGATGAGCTAAAGAACATCGATGCCGCTGGGATGGTTCCCGAGACGTGGAGTATTTTACGCTGCAAAGGCCCGAAGCCAAACCTCTAATGCCGAAACTTCGCGACCGCTCGTACGATTAGCGGGTAGAAGGAACCGAGGAAGTCGCTCACCGTCCGAGCGGGGTGTCGTGGCACTCGCAGACGGAGCAGACGCACTGGCCGTGCCCGGAGCAGGCCCCGAGACTGGAGCCCCCCGGAGGGATGCAATCCTCTTCCCGTTCGCAGCAGTCATCCCCCGAGTGGCCGTCGTAGCAGGCGCAGGTGGTGCAGTTGCACACCCCGCGCGTCGGGCCCCCGCACGACTTTCCGTCCGGGGATCTCGGGCACAGCCGCGTGTCGCACTCGCAGAAGGGACCGAACACCTGTCCGCTTCCGTCGCCCGGCTGGTCGCAGACGCAGCGGTCGCAGTCGCAGGACCCCCGACCCGAGCACATCGGATCCTCTTCGGAAGCGTTGAAAGGCCGACATTTCTCCTTCCAGTTCTCCGGGTCCACCCCTTCTCCACCCACCGAGCAGTCGCAGTTCCTCCCGTACCTGCCGGCATTCCCGCATTCGCGAACCGCGACGAGGCAAGATCGGGACGGAATCGAGAAGGAAACGAGACAGACCTTCCCTCGTCGCACTCGCACGCCCCGCACACGAGCTTCCCGTGGTTCTTGCACCTCTTCGACGACGGGGCCGACTCGGACCCCCTCTCGCACTCGCACTCGCACAGCATCTTCACGCGGATCAGCGTCTTCTCCCGGAGTCCCAGTGGATTCACCTTGATCTACCGCACCGAAGGGATCGTCACGATACGCGTCCTCGGTCTAACGGTCCTAACGAGATCCGACGGAGCACAGACCCACGCGATCCTCTCCTCCTTCGGCGGGCAGGTCCGGAAGGAGATGTTGAGAACGAAATTCACGCTGTCTCCGAGGGAGAGTCCCGGGCATTCTCGCGTCTCCTTCGGCTCCCCTCCCCGTTCGAGACAGGAACTCCAGTACCTGAGGTCCAGCGTTTGGGTCGCGTTGTCCACAAACTTCACCACGGACGTAAGATTCTGTCCGCGACATCAAGGATCATCTCGTGCGAAAGACAATTTTATATACCTGTCGGATTTCCCAGTAGCGTGGAGCACCGTCCTTGGTTTCCCTTGAACGGAATTCTGGTCTTACTGTAATTTTTTCCCCACCGTAATGGAGTCGACTATCATTACGTTACTTTACGGTCCCAGCTTTTGTAAGAAACTCTTCTCATTTTTTTTTCCCGGGGCTCTCTCGCTTTTGCAGAGAATCCGACCGGTCACACATTTCGGAAGACAAGACGAACCTTGTAAGCGTTCCGAATGACATGGATGATATCGTCCGGGTGGTCCAGCACCGTGACCTCGTTGAGAGCGTTCAGCGTCTTCCCCAGCGGCCCGTAAATGTTCTGGGCCTCCCTCGTCACCGCGAACACGACGGCCACCCCCGCCTCCGTCAGGGCCCGGTCCAGCTCCTCGATCGACGGGTAGTCGAACTCCAACGCGTCCTCGTAGTACCCCGACGGCCCGAGGCGGCACGTCTCGTTCACCCTCTGCGTGACCCCTCCCAACTGAAATCCACCAAATAACTTTTTCTTGGGGTTTTCTAAACGAGAACGTAATTTTTACATTACCACGACGTGATTAAAAAAGATAATATCATTCGATTTAAAAAAATAGGCATTTGAAATTTTTTATTAAAATAATAACCAAATATTTTGAGCCGGAATTCATAAGAAAATTAGGAACGTAATTATGAGCATTTTAGAAACCTTTTGTTCTTGAGGAAAATGGTCTGGAGCGGCGGGACTCTCTTCGACCACGCGTCTTACCTTTCCGTCTCCGGCGACGTGCGGCATGGTTTTGGAGTCGGTCGTGTACAAGATGACCCTCCGAGACTGATTCCTCCAGCCCAGCCGTCGCTCGCAGACGGCCGCTTGGTACAGGGCGTCGAGTCCGCCCTCGGCCGCGTCCAGACTCCCCGACAGTTTCGCCTGGCTCACCTGAACGGGGACGTTCTTTTATGAGTGTTTTTTTTTTTTTCGGTTCGTGCATCGCTCCTGACGAGTCGGTGGACCCACGTTTCCCACGAAATGTGCCATGTTATACGTGAAGTTCAGGTGATGCCTGAAGCTGTAGAGCGAGATGCAGTCGGGGCAGGGATTCTGGATGAAATCCTCCCTCAACCCCGCAAACGGCCAGACCGGCTTGTCCACGAACGACCCGAACCCGATCTGGTAATTCCGGGTCAGGTTCGTCAGCGTCTTCGCCAACTCGTCCCCTGCGATCGCAAAAAAAGAACACCGAATTGCGTCTCTATGGGGACCGAGTCCCTACCGTCTCTATGGAGATGGAAGTACACCATCGGATTGCGAACAGCAGACCATGTACCGTGCCCTAAGTATCGTGTGAGGTGCAGGTGTACGTTCTAAGACGCGTCCTTCGAACGGACACGCATCCGAGACGTTCGAACCCCGTCGTGCACGAGGAAGGTACACACGAGTACCAAAGTACAAGGCAAGTACCAAGCTACGAAACGTCTGTGTTCGGGAGCTCGGACGCGTAACCCTTCGATCCGCGTCCTTTCCGCTCCGTCCTTGAGGGTGAGACCTTACCGATTTTCTTGAGGGTGTCCAAGTGCGGCTTCATCGTGTTGGTCAGATCCATCAGGTAGTACAGATCCAGAGGATAATTCTGGCTCACCGTGTAAGTCAGCTTCACGCTCTGTTCCTCGCCTGCAAGATCGCACCGGTCAAATGCATGGAGGTAGGGATTCCCCGGAAGGAGGAGATTCCCCATGAGGAGATTCCCCGAGTCGTACCTGGTCGGAGGGTGACGTCGACCCTCGAGGGATGTAGATTCGGTTGCCTGGTCGAGCCACTGTCGATTTTCACCCCTCCTTTCCACGTGACGGTGTTGCTCGGGGAGCATTTGTGTTCGCGGAGTCGCTCGTACGTGTCGCAGCGGGGCCAGTAATCCTGGTACGCCTTCGGGGAAGAATCAGGTGAGATTAGGGATGGGAATTCCGTCGGGGATTTTTTAAAGGGAAGGTTACATTTTAAGAAATCGCGAGGAATATTCGTAGTCCCGTTCTCGCAGGTCGCCGAGACGACTCGTAAGTCGAAAATCTAGGAAAAGGGAGGATTTTTCGCCATCTAAGGTGGATCGGCGAGCTTTGGATATTTGTATTCGCGGTGTCGAGTGGATTGCCGGCGGAATTCCTGTTGGCTTCATCTCGCTCCGCACCGAACCGATCCGGTATCGAAAGACGATTCGGTGCATCGTTATCGCAGTCCTTTTCGATAATAAATTTCCTATCGACCGCAGGTAGCCTATCGAACGACGCATGCGTGATTTCTCTAGCGATTTTCCCGTACGAAGAAACCACGGGAGAATGCCTCTCACGGCTAAAAGCGATGAACCCATGCCATCGCGTATCGGAACGCGTAACGACTCACCGTTGCCGACGACTGCCAACGACTTCACCGCGAACCTGCACAGCAATCACGCGTTCCTGGTGTCTCTCCGCTGGCACTCCTCGAGTCCCTGAATGCGACGCAATCAATCCCGCGACATCTATGGACACGAGCGTCGCTTCCCGGTGCGTCACAGACGATGGAGGTGCCATACGGGAGGGAGAGACCGCTCGGGGCCGCAAACAGCGCAAATTGCTTCGTCCATTTTGGAGACTATCTTCCACCGGTGGGAACATCGATGAGGCTTAACGTTTGGTCTAAAAGCTTGGCAGTGCGAGATCGCGATCGCGAGTCGCATTCGCGAACGTCGGCGGCACATCGACTCGATTTCGATTTCCGACCCGAGGACACCTCGAAGGCGAAATTCCTCGACCGACGCGATGAAAGAGCTCGCCCTCACGTCGTCGCTGCACCAGGAACACTGCTCGTCGATCTCGAGGCACTCCCCGCAGGATTGCCTGCTATCGCACTGCGCCTCCATCCCGAGGCACACGCCAACTGAGAGTGGAAAGTACGGGGTTAGACGCAGCCGCTCGCGGACCTGGAAACGAACCGTGAAACTCGACCTAGCGAAAGGACGACGAGCGAGGCCGAGACCGGCGACATCCTCGAAAATCCCCAACGTCGCGGAAACTGGCACCTCTCTCACGAAAACTAACTCCTGCGTTGCGGAAATTGTCTCCCGATTCACGCAGGGGACGACAGCAACGTACTAGGATGCTTGATTCTACCACCCCTCGATCCGTCCCCTTATCTGAGATAGCACCGAATAACGATGAATTGCTTCCTCGGTTTCCTGGATTACCTCGTCTCCGGTCCCTTGTCGACGAAGAATCCTCGCATTCCTATCTTTTCGAAGAGTCGAAGCCGACGGGTCGAGGAACATTTTCCCTTCCCGCCGAAGAGCACTGAGAAATTATATTTTATGATTAAAACATCGTAACGTTCGAGAATAATTACGAACGCGCGCGGTCGCGTTTCATCTAGTCGGTTCGTTGCACGATCCAGGTTCTTTTCATCACGGACTCGATCGACGGTCGAACGTTTCGGCGGTCGTGGCGTCTTTTGAATTTCCAAACGCCAGCTCGAGACTCCAATTCCTTGCCCGAAGGCGAAGCCGACGCATCCGCTCGTTCGTCTCGTAGAACGACAGCCAAGGCCACGTGGGACGACCTCGTCTCAGAGAGAAAAGAACCGTCGTTCGTTATTAATATCAGCGACGCGTTTACTCAGAGTCCACACTCCTGCTGGACGGCATCGTACGGCATGCTGGACCATCGATCCGGAGAAGAGCTACAGTACGATAACGGACTGCAGAACTGCACGTTGCATTTGCTGCACTGAAAGCTCTACTGCATCCAAAACAATTAGGTTTCATTCGATTCCATCCAGCAAGAATCTTTCGCTGGACAGGATGCAGCATCCAGCATGCCGTACGACACGAGTATGAACTCGACCTAACGCCTTTCGACGCTTCCAGTACTCCCACTCGCATGGATTCGTAAGCTAGAAAACCAAACCTGAGACATCTATGAGCGAGAATCTCAACTACCAGCATGGCGCGTGATGCGGAAGAAGGCGCGGATGTCGAAAGGAGATACAGTACTACTCCGCTCGGGAAAAGTGTGCTACTTCCAAGCCCGCACCCTCTCGCTCTCTCCTTGTGAGTACCGCTGCCCGCGGGAGCATGGGTGCCGCATACCATGTGGAAATGGCGCCTTCCCGGGGAGGCGCAAATGCAGGGCGAGGGGAACCGGCTAAGGTACATTTCGTAGGCTAACGCTCGTGTCAATGGTGATGGCATAAGATAGTGAAAGTTCACCCATCGGCCTACATTCTCCGGATAGATTTCCGTTTCCAACACACAGGTGAGTGAATTCGGACTTGTTCACGTTGACGGTGATTTGAGAGACACTCCCACGTATCCTTAAATCACGTCCCGAGATCGACGCACGGCCTACAGATGTAACGTTAACGTTCGCCGGTCGTTGCGACTGGAGAGCGACATCGAGCGGGAAAAAAGTGAAGCTCACGTCATCGGGACACCAGGAACATTGGGGACTGGTCCTCAGGCATTCTCCGCACGAGGACTTGCTCACGCACGGAGCTTCCTTCCCTCCGGACAGGCCAACTGTCGAGAAAGATTTTAAAACATCACGTACACGTCGACCTGTGCATGACGGTGGAAACACGAATATTCAAATTCGAGCATCGACCGACGGACGAGACGACGACGACGACGAACGACGCGGTGACGGGCGACATGGCGGAAGGAGATTAAGATTCACGATCGCAACTTCTAGTTCTGCCTCACGTTGCCACAACCCTCGCAAAGAATCGAATTCGTTTCACCTTATCTCGAGTGAGGTACTCCCTCGGGTGCCTTATCGTGCCTCCGATAGCACTGAGTAAACTTAGTTCGGCCAGCCATTTTTGAGGGGTTTTTCCTTGTCGTCGGTTCGTCAACGATGGCGAAATCTTCGCATCCTCATCTTTCCGAATTGTTGGAGAGAAGCCAGGAGTTCGAGAAAGGCATTCCCTTCCCGTTGAAGACCAATCGCATCGAGGAATTGCTGAGGTGCCGGGACGTTTCCGAAGACGAGGCTGAACGCTTCGTGACGGGCACCAGACCCATCGTGCATCGCGAAGTGATGACCCTGCTGGACGAGTTCCTCGCCATCAAACGAGAACTCGGATCGATCGTGGAGAGACCCTTCTATCGTGAAACGAGCCGAGAGAAGCTGCTCACGCGACTACTCCACCAGCGGCCCCTCGCGTTCTATAAGGCCAACGACACGTGGAAGCTTCGGGATGGGACGTGTGGTCGAGGGGGTTTCGTCTCGGTGGGGACGGAAAAGGAGAACCCGCCGCTCGTTCTCAAAGACTACCTGTCGTACGACGAGGTAAAGCTGTCTGCGTTGGTGGGTCTATCATCCGAGACTGCCTTCATCAACGACGGCGAACGACGTAACAGGGGGCGCAAGGGAGTTCCGGGGACCTTCGAGGAGAGAGGGATCATCGTGGGTCTCGTCGGAGCTCGACTCAAGCTTCCTGGCCTCATGGAATGGCAGGATGTCGTTGTCGACCCCAGCAAGAACACTCCTGAGAATGGGTACGGCATCGAATCGGACGCATTGCGTGCGGGAGCGGACCGTCAGAGCGTTGCACTCAAGCGCATATGGGCGAAGTTCTACGGTATCACCAACGCTAACGGTGATTTTTGTTTTCCTACGTTCACTGAAGCGTCCTCGAGCTCTACTGGCAACTTCCTTCAGGCCCAGCGTGGTATGCTCAATGTATCTGCTTACAAGAAACGCGTGCGAATCTCGGCAGAAACCCTGCTAATGGAAGCAAATGCACGAGGAATAAGCGCAACGCGTCGAGCGTATGTACACGTGGTGGGGCTGGGACTCGGCGTCTGGAAGCTGTGCCCTGCCCAAGAACAACTATATCTCGATTCTTTCGGAGAGGTTTTGCAGGAGCTCCCATTGTCTCACGTAGCTGACGTGGACTTCAGCTGGATCAAGGGCAATGACGTGGCTGGAATCCGCAGTGGGGAATGCACGCGACACGGAGTGAAGGTGCACCTCTCGAAACGCAACCCTCAGGAGAAGTTGAAGGACGAGAACGAAGGGAAACTCCTAGTCGTTTCGTACGCCTGGGACGGGAACGCCTTCCCAGGGAACGAATACTGGAAGGGGATATTGAGTGGCTCTGGGGACTCTGCCGCTGCCTCCACTTCGCTCATCAGTCAGCTGCATAATCCACTGGTTAACCCGTTTGTGGACGGAAAGCATGCGGTCGTACTTTCGCCGAATGCCACCTGAACATGTCATCCACGTTCATAGCATTCGCCTGGTGGTTTCATACTAGTAATAAATTATTTTTATGCGGAAGCCATGAAAATTCTCAGTCCTCTCGAGTAACTACAACTCAGTCATATGCAAAGGCAAGAAGAAATCAGAAACCTAAATTTTTCTTTTACATTCCTGTCATATTTAACAAGATGAAAATCCTCTAGTAAACTTCATTGTTTTTTGTTGTTGTCAATCTCTGTATCTTTCTACTATTACTGTGATCATCTGATATCATGAAATCAGAGGTAAAAGTACAAAAATCAATTATCCTTCTCATTTGAAACATTGCGAATTATCGTATTGTACAACTGTTCAAGAAACCATCAGATTCAGTAATGGAAGGGGAAAGAAGAATGATGAGGAATATAGAATCGAAAGGGGCACCCAGTGACATCAGAATGAGCTGCAGGCATGCGAGAATTACTTGAGGGGAGAAAGTCGCCAGACCTGATGAAAATGTGGGGGGAGGAAAGCCACCATTATTCTCCGCTCGCCAGACGGCCGTGGCTTCGCTTGGTGGACGACGAATCGATTATAGGTACGTCTAAAACGGAAGGATGAGCCTTCCAGTCTGTATCTAAATTTTTTTAATGATAAATTTTCAAGACGGAAGGGTCCAGCGCACGGCAATTACCCTCCGCCCGACGTATAAAATGCCGCAGGTCTTGGCAGTAGGAACAAAGATATCTTCCCTGCAAAGGAAAAGGGACAGCCCCTCTGAACGGCATCCCCAACATAATATTCGATCCGCGGCTGGGCAGAGTACTGTAATGAAGCCCCTTTTGACAGGTCGGTATGACACTGTCGTGGACGGCTCGACCACCTCGTATGGGTGAACCAGTTTGGGATTTTTTTCAAAGCGCTCGACGGTGAGACGGAATATAATTGAATAGTATGAATAGCTGAGCCACGGTTTCTGCAGGGCAGAAATGGAATCTGGAGAATAGAGGGAGTCAGTAGATAGTCGATTGGCGTGACACCAATCGACTCGACTGCCCATCTACAGAACAGCTGTACGGGAAACGAACCCACTTCTCTTGAACAAATGTCGAATGGAGTCACATTCCATGCAAATAGAAATAAACACATTTTCTAATTCCGTTTCCTCTTTTGAGGCCTAGGTTTTATCTGCTGTCGGCCTTGCAGCCCCGTCGGAAAAGGGATGGACATTTTTAATACACGCTTTCGACAATATTGCTTTTTTTTTCAACCCGTTTCAAGAATCCACCTTCTTGCATTCCTATCTAGAGAGCATCTGGAGGAACGGAAAAGGACATCCATTCTCCCTCTAAATAATTCCTGCTTATTTAAAGCTTCATCTCCCCAGGGATGTGGAGAAAACAAGATTGCATTTTTTAGAAGGTGTGAATCTCATTCCGGCTCATACCGGTTGCGGATAAAAAAAAAATTGCGTCGCTGTTCGAATGTTTATATCTTAAGAAAAAGTTATTGCTGTGCATGTCTCATCTAGTATGCATCTACATGTTTTCTATTACGGGATTTTAAAAAAATTTTCCTTCTTGTTAAACCAAATAAACACTTTGAAGTTTCGCCCATTACATACCTTAGTATTTGAAAATCTCCGTGAGCCCTAGGAAACTTACAGAAATAGATGCACGGTTTTTGTTCAAGGATCGCTTTTAATGAAGTCAGTGCGCGCACTAGTCCTGAAAACACGCTTCAATACTGCCGGAGAGAACTGCATGATCACGACTGACGGGACAAATTGGAGTGAAATCGATGAAGTGGTTTCCCTCTTTCGGTGAGGCTAAAAACGTGCGGGGATTTCTTAGAATTTCACTCGCAACTCTCAAAATGTTAATGTGGCTAAACTGCATGGTGAATTTTCGAGAAAATTCTTTCCATGGAAGAGAAGACGTAGGTACATTTATCCTGGAACATACATTACTGTAGCAATGGCCGATTTCTTCATGAACAAATCGCGGTTTTTCTCTCTCACAACCCCCTTCTCCCCGTCGTAGCCAATCGTGGAAGTTGTCGAAGATAGTGTTGAGGATAGAAACGTGTGGGAGGTGGGCCCATGAACATTTAGTGGTTGGCGATGCGATATCTCCTGGTTCATGATAAACGTAGCTGTTGACTCCAGGCTTAACGAGCGTGCTCCAGGTCCATATGCTACGGTTGCTCGGTATCGTGTTTGAGTTTTGTCATTTTATGAGTGACTTGCCTGTTCCTGTTTACAATGTATACTTTTTCGTACTGAATTCATGGGATGAGGTGATGCTGAAACAGGAGTTGGCGGTAGCCGCTCGATGATCGAGGACATACTGTCCAAGGACATCCTCGTTCAAGGGCTTCGAGAAACTTGATATAGACCTATCACAGGCCACACGTTTCACTCCTCGATTAAATGCCTCCGAAATCCTGAGATAGAACCATCTTAGGACTAATTGGCAGCACCGGATTAAGAAGTTGCGAGGCGCGGGGCAAGTGGATTCTTGAGGCTGTCACATCCCCCCTCCCCCCCGATACTTTATGCAAATATTTAACGTTAATTTCCTTCTGGGGCCCCCTGGAATAGCGGGGCCGGGGGCAATAGCCCCTTTTGCCCCCCCCCCCCCCCACTCTTAATCTGGACCTGACTGGCAGGTAAGTAGGGGGTTGAAATCCTTTTGGGCGAAAAGAAGAAGGCCTAAACCCAACTAGAATATTTGGTTTAGTTCACCTCATCTTGAGGTCTAGTTTGATCCATTCTGATCCTGAACTGCATGACTTACACTTCCAAACTTGTTAACAAACTTAACTCCTCATCATTTCCAGAGCATCTAAAGAATCTTGAGCTAGATGTCTCTTGAGAACTTACAGAAGAGCTTCACTCTCACCTCTTCAAAGAATCTTTTCTCTTGCAATGGCTTAAACTATCTATCCAAAGTATTCAGACCTCCCAATTAAGAGTCCATAAGCAACCCAGCATACGTCTTATTTTAGGAGTAAAATAGCTGCAGGTCAAATTTCTCTTTTCCTCTTGATGTACAAGTTGTGGGGAGAATCATTCCTTAATTGTCTGTGATAAGGCTACCTTGTCTTCCCTCATGCATAAGATTACTGGAATACTTTTATGAGTTGTCCATGTCACTTTAACCCTTTGGGTCTGGATGGTTTTACAGTGTAACCAACTTCCATGGCACAAGTACCATGGTTCTAGAAAGGGAAGTTTCACTCTGAAGCCACAATTGTAAATAAGTTGGTGCTCCTATCAAGCAGCAGAAACAGAAACAAAATATTTATATATTAACAAATCACTTTGCAGTAATTGGTGTCTTTAAAAGTTAATCTTGTGACTTCCATTAGTCACTTGTATTAACATGCCAATCCTGCTTGTTTGATTGTGACATTCCATTTAATTTTATCTCATTTGGGCCATTCTGGGCCTGCATTTGTGTGTATTGAAGTTATTATTTATTTACATTATTTTGTTTATGTTCCTGCGTTCTTTCTTCCTTTTTATAGGGCTTTCAGGGAGTTTTGTTCTGCTTCTATGCACTCCCTTTACAAGGAGAATAAAGACAAATAAGGCTGGAACCGAGGACAGTCTGCAGACCAGGTCTAGGCTGAGTAAGTCCTGATACCTCTTCTGTTTTTTAAGTAACCATTGTTCTGGTGATTTGGGGTCATTTGATCCAATTTCTATAGAGGGGAAAGGGGTAAAGAAAAGAAAAAGTCATTGAAAAGGACAGTTTCCTGTTACAACATTAATATGCTTGATTCTCAAAATCTGCAAGCATCATTGCTTTAAAGTAGTAGCCTTGCAATATGAGATTCCGGGGAGTAGTACATTCTGGGTTAAGCCTTCTACCACTGACTTGATTCAACTTTCATGGCAACTTCTGCATTCCCAGGTGCTATTGCATTACCTCACATATTTACACCGTCATATGTTTGACAATGTGATTAATCTCGCTGCTGACACATGAACTTGTCAATTTTGAAGATGCTTGACAAATATATTCTTGCCATAACATGAATACTGTTTTGCATGGGCATTCCTCTTTCTTAACACCTTCCCCGTCCGGGAGGGTAGTGGCAATCAGTTTCCAAATCTTAAATGAAAACCTAAAGATTAAAAATTACGATTTAGACAGGTAAAGGGACTCATTAGGCCTAAACCTAGTCCACGAACTGACTTCAGGTCTGACCCCTTCCGTTTCAACGCCAAAGTTCTCAACTCCCTACTTTCGGGCCAATTAAGCTTATTTCAATTACTCAAAAACATTTTGAGGAGGAATGTAAAGTTAGACCTATTATGGACCTATTCCAAGTTTCTCTCGTCTTGAGGATGTCTGACGAGACTGCCTCCCTAATGTAAGTGAATGTTGGTCGCCCTCACCAACAGGGATGCACGTGGACGGCAAATCCTTAATGCAACACATCGAGAGGCCAAGGTTAACAGCTGTTTCAGTCGCACCTCATACCAATGAACTCAGTACGAAATAAATGTCATACGTTATTCATAGACAATAGGAAAACGACATGAATGCATAAGCGCTCATCGATCCGAGAAAACTCCAGCACGATATCCGGCAACCGTGGTAGAGGAGACTGGAGCCTGGATGTTCCTAAATAAACGTAAGCTAATTTCCTTTTTCACCACAAAACGGCGCATCGCCAATGACGGGAAGGGCACGTGCAGGGCCGGATTAAGGGGGGGGGGCCGATCCCACTCTTCCAGGGGGCCCCGAAGGAAATTAAAAACGTTAAGTACAAAAAAAAATCTTGTGTTTGCGTAAAGTAGCGGGGGATTGGGGGAAACCCCAGGAATTCACTTGCCCGGGCCTTGCAACTTCTTAATCTGGCCTTGGGCACGTATCTCGCTCTCTAAACCCACGCCTTTCTTTTGATTAGGCCATCTCCTCCGAAAACCCCTAAGAGTGGCTACTCGGGGAAGGGAGGTTCGCTCATACTATCAGGTCATCCCGTAAGTATTGTTGTTTTTCTGGCATAGCCTTACTTGTGTATTCTTTATACATGTATCTGCGAACATCCCATGGAATATTTCTATGCTAACTTGTGCAGGGTTTAGTCGTCAATATACGTGCAGGTTTTCATGAGGTGCTCCGTTTTTCTTGGACACTAAAGACAAGATGGAGGTGTCAGAAGAAAGGCGTGGGTTTAGAGAGCGAGATACGTGCCCAAGGCCAGATTAAGAAGTTGCAAGGCCCGGGCAAGTGAATTCCTGGGGTTTCCCCCAATCCCCCGCTACTTTACGCAAACACAAGATTTATATGGTATGGAGAGTTTTTACACTTCATGTGATCAAATTTGAACGGGCTTCTAACGCGTTCCTGGGCCTGGGGGTTATCTTGCTCCCGAATCTGTTGGCCAGTATGTTATTTTAATTTTGAAAAACAGAGAAAAAAACGACATTACTTATGGGATGACCTGATATATAAGCAAGCTTATTCTCTTTGCATCCCAGGGTGAGGTGGCATTCCAAGTTTTCTGGAGCGATTCCGTGTTCAGAGGATCAGAAGCATGCATAGTTTCGTTCTCCACAAACTCTTAGATAAAGAATACGGGAAGGCAGATTGAAGGGGATTGTGTTGAAGAAAAGGTAATGAAGATGGAATTGCTGCCGAAATTATTACTATATTCACATGTTATTTACATTGATGAGATTTTTCCCCTGAGGGCGGAGTGACCCAGTCTCAAAGACCATTGCAGATATAGCGACATATCGCCGCTGTGTCGCGGTGTGTGAGGGCCGCAAGTTTCCAAATAATATTTTATAGGCTTACTCTCTATACTGTTAGCACATACAATATAATACCTTGTGATGACTAGGGAGCAGATTTTAATGCAAATGCATATTTTTTCTGCAGCCTCCTAGGAGCATACAACCCAGATAGGATCGTGTCTTATTGGTAGAGGAAGCGATTTCAGATAAGGTTGTTTACAACGCATAAAGATTAGGGCTGTACCGGTGGCCACATTTAGCCGGTGGGCCGATTGTTTCCTCCTCCATCGGGCTGTGCCGGTGTCAATTGTGACCTGAAGAATAAATCGCCTATAAATTCAAATGGGCCGAATTGGAAGCCATGTGATACTTATCAGTAGGCCTCCTTGAAACGATAGAGACCCCTTTTTGTCCTGTCCAACTTTTCTGTTTCTCCCTGAGGCTATAAGTGGTTAGCTTGCTATCCATTGCTGCTGTTGAGAGCATTTAGTGACACTTCCCTTTCAAAAGCATAACGTAAGTGAAGACGCAATGACTTCCCTTCTTTACCGCATTTTTCCTCTGCCGGTTCCTATAATCTGGCTAAAATACAGGGTGTTCCATAAGTTTACCGAGGAGTTTTCAGCTATACTAAATTATTAGTAACTTCGTTATTAATTTAAATGTTAGGAATCAATTTTTAAGCGTGCATCTTCCTTCGCCTACAATGAAAATAAAAAACTTTTAACAATGACAATAACAAAAACCATATCACACAACTATAAATTAATTAAAGTGAGAATAGCTGAAACCCCCTCGGTAAACTAATTTATGGAACACCCTGTATACTCCGATCGATATTTGTGTCTGGATAAGGCTGGCAGGAGTCTCTCAGTGAGATAGGAGGGCCGGCGCCTAGCAGCCTTCAAACTCTCACGAATTTTTTTTTTCGCTTTGCTCGTCCTTTGGCAGCGGCACCGACACCGGCGCCATAGGCCGATAGTGCAACACCGACGGCTGATACCGGTGTTGGCCAGTATATCGGTACAGCCCTAAGAAAAATGCATATTTCTGTCATTTTTATATCTATAAATAAAAATAATAAATTTCCATCAAAATGAGTATTTATGAGCAAGCTATGGAAAATTTCCAGCGGTAATGCGCTGGTTGGAGTAGTGAAGCACCCAAAACTGCTCTAAATCCATCCGCTACCACCATCCCTCTCGAAAAGTTTCAAAAGATAGTCCCTGTTCGTTTCCCTTAGACCTCCATTGGCGAATTCCTGGCTACGTCGTTGGCTGTGACAAGAATAATTCAATGTACATAATCCAATGACACCAGTAGAGGCATATATAATATACCTTGAAGTTCCTTCTCCTGAAAATGTCGTAATGCGTTAAAAAAAAAATGTTTTTCCATATTTCCCCATTTCCGTACATATTTTATGAGGATTTTCTCTTTTTTAAGCGCATATGTATGTGCATATTTTAGGATATATTAGCGCATCAAAATCCGCTCCCTAGTGATGACACAGTAAGTAATCAAAACATCATATGTCTATACAATTAGCGTTGAATATAATGATAAATTAGGTTAACATGTGGGCCAATATATTTCAGAATAATCCCCAATTCCGACTGGCTGATCTTGCAGTAGTGAGACTAGCCACCCCCCAACTTCTGACTATTGGAACGAAGTCTTGATTCACACGTATTGAAACCGCCTGCAGGTCCATTGAAGACCGCCTAGAAGACAACCCTCGCCACGTATAAGGGCATTCCTGGACTTGAGCTTATCTGAGTAAGGCAACCTTCCCAGTCAGACTCCTTATGAGAGGTGTCACAGATGTGTTTTCTTCGTTGTCCTATATTATCACTATTACTCCTACCTGACTGATTCAGAAGAAATGAAACGGCAACAAGGTTTAAATGTGGTCATAGTCTGAAAGATTCGAGCAGCGAAGAGTCCATGAACAACAAGCGCCACATATCTTATCGTGAACACTTTTGCGCCATACTCAAACAAGTAGAACAGAGCAGGCTGGGATCGGTTCGTTCCTGCACTGCGTTTTTGATATGCCGTGGAAGCTCTTCAACGTGACTGGGATTTGCCGGAAGCTCACCAAATCTCGCGTCCCCGTGGGGGCGCACAGTGTGAAGCGTTGCTTCCAAGTTCGAGCAGTGGTGTACGGTGGGTGGTATTTTCTCTGGTGAGGGAAGGGGGTGGGGTGGCAGAAAGGGGGCTGCGGAGATCGGGGGTGTCGCGTCACTGTCCCACAATAACATGGCATAAGACGTACATGTGTTTCAGTGCAGGCTATCGTCGCGGGTTCCATTTCCCTGACGGTTATGATTTGAAGAATATTCTTATCTCTGCTTTACAATAGCACTTTTCTTGGATCAAACTAGTCGGTTCGGAATCGTGTGGAGAGTTGTTTGCACTTAATGGAAACGAATTTATGAAAGACTTCCATGCTCTTGAAACACCTTCTCCATTACCGATCATGCTCTATCTGGCTCCTCCGAAACAAAGTGAGATGCAAACGTAACCCACTCCTCTTGGCCCAATTTCTAGATACCATCCAAAGTACGACATAACCGGGAATGATCATAAAATTTCCCTGGCCAGGGAATTTGGCCAAGGAATCTGCCTTCTCATCCCTGCCACCACAGATGGTGTGGACGAGGGGGTAGGGCCCCTTCGTCCACACCATGGTATTGACATTAATTAAAACTTAATAAACAGGTCTATGTCAAAAGAATGTGCGATATAACAAACCTAAGAAACAGTATAAAGGAAGCATTTACTAGTCTCACGTAAAAAAAAGTTTGCAAACACGTGGGCAGTACTCTCGTACCACTGGGAACTGTGTTGTCAGCGAAATGGTGACATGTGGAAAAGTAACATGATGTTTCTGACAAAAGACATTTCCATAATATATGTACAAGTAGTAAGTTTTTATACATGGTGGGATTCTGCAGTTAGTTTATCTCTCTGCAACATGAAAAACATGGAGTTTGCTTTTTTCTTTATACATAGGGCTCGTGATCTTGCTCCATATTCAGATCTTAGTTAATGATTTCATTAATTGTAGCGGGGCACACGCGCAACTTGTTGGCAAGACTTATTGGTGGATTTTTTCTTCTGGACAAGTTGACCAACAATGAAAATACAAGTAACTTTCCTTGTAGGGAGTAATGTAACCCTTCAAAATAATACGAGGAATTGATCGGAGCCATCCCAAAAATACAATGCTTCTCGCTTTTATACTGGAAGATTAAAATAACATACTGGCCAACAGATTCGGGAGCAAGATAACCCCCAGGCCCAGGAACGCGTTAGAAGCCCGTTCAAATTTGATCACATGAAGTGTAAAAACTCTCCATACCATATGGAAACTTCGAAAATAAATATATGGCACTATGTGTCCCTTATAGTACAGAATAGGTCAATAGTTTGGTTACACTTATTTCCCAGATTAACTTACCTCCGGTTCTATTCAAAATCAGTTACAGTCCTCGTTGGCGGAACGATGGCGAAAATCCCGCATCCCCACCTTTCAGAGGCACTTAAGAGAAGCCAAGAGTTCGAGAAAGGCATTCCCTTCCCGGTGAAGACCAATCTAATCGAGGAATTGCTCAAGAGTCAGGACATTACCAAAGACGAAGCGGAACGCTTCGTGACGGGCACCAGACCCATCGTGCATCATGAAGTGATGCTTCTATTGGACGAGTTCCTCGCCATCAAACGAGATCTTGGATCAAGAGTGGAGCAATCACTCTATCGAGATATGAACCGAGACGAGTTGCTCACGAGACTTTTCCACAAGCGTCCTCTTATGTTCTGTGGAGCTGGCGACGGGTGGAAACTTCGCGATGGGATGGCGGGTTATGGGGGATTCGAAACGGTAGGGACGGAAAATGAGAGCCCACCACTCGTCCTCGAAGACTATCTCTCATACGACGAGATCAAGCTGTCTGCATTGGTGGGCCTATCCTCTGAGACTGCCTTCATTAACGACGGCGACCGATATAACAAAGGACGTAAGGGGCCGCCGGGGACCTTCGAAGAGAGGGGCGTCATCGTGGGATTAGTCGGAAGTCGGTTCGAGATTCCTGGACTCATGGAATGGCAGGATCTCGTTGTCGACCCTCAGCAGAACACTCCCAAAAATGGGTATGGCGCCAAATCCGATGCTTTGCTTGCCGGAGCGGACCAGCAGACCCTTGCGCTCAAGCGCATGTGGGCGAAGTTCTACGGCGTCACTAACTCTAATGGTGATTATTGTTTACCTACTTTTACTGAAGCGTCTTCGGGCTCATCCGACTGCTTTCTCAAGATCCAGCATGGCACGTTACTCAATGTATCTGCTTACAAGAAACGCGTGAGGATCTTGGCAGAAACTTTACTTTTGGAAGCTAACGCCCGAGCAGAGACCACAGGACGTCGAGCATATGTACATGTGGTCGGACTAGGTCTCGGCGTCTGGTCCTTGAGCCCCGCTCAGGATCAATTATATCTCGATTCTTTTGGAGAGGTTTTACAGGAACTCACATTGCCGTACGTAGCTGACGTGGACTTCAGCTGGATCAAGGGCCAGAAATTAGCTGGAATCTGCAGCGGGGAATCCACGCGTCATGGAGTGAAGGTGCACCTCTCGAAACGCAATCCTCAGGGGAAGCTGACGGGCGAGAACGAAGGGAAACTCCTGGTCGTTTCGTACGCTTGGGATGGGAATGCCTTCCCAGGGAATGAATACTGGAATGGTTGCCTAAGTAGCTCTGGCGATCCTGCCGCAGCCTGCAATTCACTAATCCAACAACTGCATAATCCTCTGGTGAATAAGTTCGTGGACGGGAAGTATGCGTTCGAAATCGTCCCCCAGGCTACATGAACGGACATCTTTCGCGTTCGAAAGATGTCCAAGATGTTCGAAAGATGTTATTTCCCGAGATGTTTCTTCTTGTCATTCCACGAGTGTCAGGTGCCATTTGATGTCATTTACATTCCCACTCCCTTCGATTCTACCAGATATGTTCGGCGGGCTTTTTTTGTAAGCTTTCTCCTTTCCGGGAGGTATTTATCATTCCTTTGATGCGCCATTAAGGGCAAAATATGAATAAATAATATCCTCTATAGTACTATTTTTTGTGACGTTTCATAAACGTACTCCATGGATTTGAATCATGCGATTCTAGAAAGACGTCGGATTGAGTAAATATATGACCTAAAACAAAATTTTCCCATATTCTAAAAGTTTATTCTAGAACATAAAAAAAACCTGTTGACTATTGGATATTAAATTAAAAGAAAAGAAATTATTCATATGACAGAAGGTTATTTCATCCCTGACTGATCGCCAAGCGTGTGATGAAAGGAAAAAAAGACAAAGTGGAATAATTAGCACGATTCTCTTGCACTTCAATGATTGGTATCTCAAAATTTTACTTATGAAATTCAAATTCCTGAACTGCCGAAGTAGCCTTGTGTGATCCAAAACTCGTCCATGAACAGTGCAGTTGTCCAGAGATGGTCATAAGTCCAGAAGCGGTCATCCTTTGAATGTACATAGGATATAATCGCCATGGATCGATATCTATTCATGCATTCTGAGCTTTATCCGAGAAGAATTTCCCTGCCTGGAACACTCAATCATTTCCATTTTATTGATTGACGTTTTTATGGAATGGCCTTATGAGCATCCGGTCACAGGATTCCTATATTTCTTTTTTTTTCTTCAAATCTCTCATTTTAGGACGAAACCCAGTAACTCCAATCATTATATCAATAATGTGACATCATAATTCGACGAGTGCATGATTTCGTTTAGAGTTCGACATTACGAACGAAACTGTGTGTCAGTTCGTCTTTGGGCATCCATTGGACGTTCAGCAAAAGAACATCCAAGGACAAATTTTCACGCTACCATTGGATGTCCTTGGATGGAGTCCCCTCCCCGTTGAGGCCTTCCATCTGGCCTGACATCTAGCCGTTCATTCAACAAATATAAAGTTCCCACAATGTATGCGAGATCGCGCTCATCCCGCCGCTGTATGCTAATAAATGGTTTTCGCAGAAGCTTTCATCCTCAACTCGATAATTTTCCACGTACAAGCCGAAGGATTTCGTTCTATTTAATACATTTATTGAGAGCCGTAACCTAGCTCAAAGATACTCCAGGCAATTCTTGCTCAATGCATCATGAGAATGTGGATCCCCTGGTAAGGTGAGTCTAGGGGCTTCCGCTATCATCTAAAAAGTGTTGTCCAAGGCGATGAGGAATATAACCTCATGTTAGGGAGGTTGGAATGGAAAGTTGACAGAATTCATTCAAGAATTTTCCGTCTTATTTTTCTCCTTCGGATGTCCTTAGGGACATCTCTGAACGGCGAGATGGGAAATTCGCTGTAATGCGACTTTCTCTCGCCATGGTATTCATGTGCACGAACAATTTACTGCATTGCTATCTGGAGGATGGCTATTGTTGCACTCCTCAAAGGTCATCCAAGGGCATTCCCATTGGCAATCTCCAAAGAAACGGACATCATATGAACATGTCCAAGGATTATCCTTGGACGAGAGACATTTAGTGCAAACATAGTAATACCGTCGATTTACAAATGGGCTTATATCTCTCAGATTAGTTTTTCATTTCCAACAGACTGATCATGGGGGAAGTCAGGCAAAAAATAATTAGACTTCTGACTGATGGAAGGAATGCTTGATTTACATGTATTGAAACTGCCTGATGGGCTGTTGAGATACACCTAGAAGACAACTCTCGTCATGTACGAGATATAAGAGCCTTCCTGGACATGACCTTTTCTGAGTAAGACACCTATCGAACCCTTCCTCCCGTGAAACTCCTCATAATGAGAGGTGTTGCAGATGTGCTTCCTTAGTTTTCCCATTCAAAACACGAGAAACCTTCCTTGGAAATAACAGTAATGCACCCCTCCCACAAAATATTAATTTTCGGAGGGATCCCAATAATACAAGCATCCTCACCTTAACATTATAAACTTCAAATATACAAGCCGACAGATACTGCAACAGGACAACTAAAACCTTTCCGAAGTACTGAAAAAAAAGCCAGGAGTTCGAGAAGAGCATTCCCTTCCCACTGAAAATCAATCGCATCGAGGAATTGCTCAAGAACCAGGACATCACGGAAGACGAGGCGGAACGCTTCGTGACAAGCACCAGACCCATCGCGCATCATGAAGTGATGCTCCTGGGGGATTCGACACGGCAGGGAAGGAAGAGGAGAAGCCACCTCTCGTCCTCAGAGACTACCTGTCGTACGACGAGATGAAGCTGTCTGCATTGGTGGGCCTGTCCTCTGAGACTGCCTTCAACGACGGCGGCCGAAATAACAAAGGACGCAAGGAGCCACCGGGGAGCTTTGAAGAGAGGGGCGTCATCGTGGAACTAGTCGGAACTCGGTTCCAGATTCCTGGACTCATGGAATGGCAAGATCTCGTTGTCGACCCCCAGCAGAACACTCCCAAGAATGGGTATGGCGTCGAGTCTGACGCTTTGCGTGCCGGAGCGGACCGTCAAAGCGTTGCACTAAGGCGCATGTGGGCCAAGTTCTACGGGGTAACTAACTCAAATGGTGATTTTTGTTTTCCTACTTTCACTGAAGCGTCCTCAGGATCACTCAAATGCTTTAGCAGGAACAAGCGTGCTGACAAGATGCTCAATGTACAATATCTGCTTACAAGAAACGCGTGCAGATTATAGCTGAAACTCTACTTCTGGAAGCAAACGCTCGAGCAGAAAGTGCAGGGTGTTGAGCATACGTACACGTTGTTGGGCTGGGACTCGGCGTATGGCTTCTGAAACACGCCCAAGAACAACTATATCTCGATTCTTTTGGGGAAGTTTTGAAGAGACTTTCATTGCCTCACGTGGCGGATGTGGACTTCAGCTGGATTGAGGGCAAGAAAATAGCTGGAATTCGCAATGGGAAATGCACACAAAAGGGTGTGAAGGTGCACCTCTCGAAACGCAACCCTCAGGAGACGCTGACGGGCGAGGACGAAGGGAAACTCGTGGTTGTCTCGTATGCCTGGGACAGTAATGCCTTTCCTGGGAACGAATATTGGATGGGGATGCTAAACACCTCTGGGGATCCTGCTGCGGCCTGCAATTCGCTTACCCCCCAGCTGCATAGTCCTCTTGTAAACCCGTTTTTGGACGGGAAGCATGCATTTGTACTTCGTCCTGTGATACATCAACGCAACATCATTCGCAATAGCGGTATTTCCGTGTATTTCGTGGAGAACCGGTTTTGATGTTCGAAATAAAACTAAATAAGAATGCAAATTTCCATCCCCCCCATATATGTTGTTTTATTCCTGCCTTTAATATTGCCTCAACGTATTCCACCTTTCAAGCTTAGTAAATATTCGATACGCGCAAAGTAGCTGTATTGCGTAAAAGGAAAAGCAAAAACAGGAAATCCTTCCTTTTCCTACAACTTCACGCCCAAACGGAAATGCTTGTTTAATATAAAAACCATTCAGTTCTAATCATGTTCCATCGTTATGAAGTATTCTATGGGCATGAAAATGAAGTGTAGAAAGAAAGTTTGCTGAGGTATGAAGATTTGCTCTCTTGTTTCAGCTCAGACGTTGCTGCAGAATGAAGAGTGAAAAATACCTCACCTGGTGGTATCACCATGCTGCAACGAAATTTTATACAAGGGGTAGGGGGAGCGGCACCAGTTCGCGAACAGGGATCCAGTTAGCGAACGAGGGTCATGAAATGCGATTTGGTCTTTTGTTTCTCGAGTTACACGCTCCAGCTTTTGGTATCTGCAGAAAATGGATTGATTGATTATTTAATGCTTGGGATGGAGCGTGAAACTAGAGTAACAAAAGGCCAAATCGCATTTCATAACCCTCGTTCGCTAACTGGCTCCCTGTTCGCGAACTGGTGCCGCTCCCCTATATTCTTAGAACAAAAGGATGTTCATCCCGGACCGAAAGCCAAGCGGGTGAAATACATAATTCTGTGTAGTGTAGTAATTAGCACGGTTCCTTTACTTTTGTAAAAATTGGTATATCAAAATATTTAAGAATGAAACTGAAATCCACGAACTGACACGGTCTAATTGGCGTTATTTTGCCACAGATTTTGTGTTTCGATGTTTTATGCAGCTTTGCGGATAAATATGCTTGGATGTCGAGAGCTACAGTCTTTTTGCTTTTTCGCAACATCCGAATTTTTGTGGTATGCGTTTTGAATTGCGTTATGGACTCGATTCAACGGTAATCGCGACATGAACAGTCATTCTTTCCTCTGAAATGTTAAAGATGTTAAAACAAAACGCAATATGGATTCCTATTCGCATTCGATCACTGTACAAAGTTATCCGAATCCCAAAAAAATTGCGACGTCTGCTACTTTTGGAGAACTAGTTCAGTCGAGAAATTTCAAGGAGAATTTGAAACTTGAAAAAAAAAAAGATGACAACGGTGCTTTGGCAAAAAATACAGTGTCGGCACAAAAAAAAAACAGGAACACCTAGCATGAGCGATGCTACAGCCACCAAACTTCGGGTGTTTATTGGAGACATGGAGGGCAATGAGCAATCACTCTCAGATTCCTGGCGTCACAGTGGTCTTACACAATCATGTGACCGCACCATAGTTAATACTCTGTATAGCCTCCTCCAGCCGTGATACAATCTGTTAAACAATACAGGGTGTCCCAAAAGGTATGGAATCATTAAAAAATTAATATCTCTCTGAATTATGCCTCAAATAAAATGATTACAACAGTAAATGAAGTGTAACTCAAACATTTTTCAACCTGCTATTGCGATTCCACATGGGTACCAATTGTGACTTTGTAGATGTCTAAGCGATGTTCGAGCTCTTACCAGACCTTTTGCAGAGTGTTAGGCATAACTATCAGGACAGCTCGGACGATTTTGTTCTTTGGATAGTGATCGATTGTCTACTTTTCTCCAGTAAGTGATGTCCTTGACATAGCACACAAGAAAAAGTCCTCTAGGGTTAGTTCAGGTGATCTTGGTGGCCATGAAATGAACCTGCTTTGTCCAATCCACAGATTTGGTTTTTTTTTCTCCATGCCTTATTTGCTGAAATGTGGAGTTGCAACATCTCAGAAAATTACACTTTTATTGGGCCTGAACCCTACCCTCTTGGATTTTTTTTCCTTGTAGGGCTATGCGAAGGACATTGCCAATTTTTCTTGAGTAAGCAATTTCCAATCTGATCTGTAGAACAGAATTGTTGCTGCTATTCAGGTAGTTATACATGACACTCTGAGTAAGTTGTGGTAAGAGCTTGAACATCGTTTGGACGTCTACAGAGCCACAAATAGTGCTCATGTGGAATTGCAATAACAGGTTGAAAATTTTTTGAGTCGACTGAATGACTGAATCGTATAGCATGTTGGAATCTCGATCCGGTGCACAGCTGATGTAGGATAACGGACTGCAAAATTTCACGCTGCAGATTCTTTAGCTGGAAAGGATGTAGCATCCATCATGCAGCAGCGGCGTAGCCAAGATTTCACCAATGAGGGGGCTAAGCGGAACGGTGGGAGGGCTTACTTCTCCTCGCCCAAAAGGGGGGAGGGGTGGAGGATGCATTTAGACTGGAGTTGAGAGGGCTTCAACCAAACTTGGGGGGACGGAAGCCCCCCTTCGCTACACCGCTGCCACACATGTATGAACTCGGCCTAACGCCTTTCGGCTCTTCGAGTACTCCCACTCGCGCGCATTCGTACGTAAGCCTAGAAAAAAGAAAATCGTGAGACATCTATGAGCCAGAATCTAGACAACCAGCATGGTGCATGATGAGGAAGAAGGCGCGAATGTCGAAAGGAGATTCCTACTCGGCTCGGGAGTCCTACGTCCAAGCCCGCACCCTCAGGCTTTCTCCTTGTGAGTACCTCTGCCCGCGGGAGTATGCGTGGCAAACCCGCGTATTAATGGTGTTGGCATAAGATAGAGAAAGTTCACCCATCGTCCTACATTCTCCGGATCGATTTCCGTTTCCGACAGACAGGTGAGTGAATTCGGATTCGTTCACGTTGACGGTGATTTGAAAGACGCTCCCTCGTACTCTTGAATGACGTCCGGAGACTGACGCATGGCCTACAGATTAGGAACTCAACGCTCGCCGGTCGTTGCGAGGAGTGGCTCCGGCTCCGGAGAGCGATATAGAGCAGGAAAAGATAGAAGCTCACGCCATCCGGAAAACAGGAACTTAGGGGACTGGTCCTCAGACATTCTCCACACGAGGACTTCACGCACGGAGCTTCCTTCCTTCCCTCCGGACAAGCCAAGTGTCGAGAAAGATGTAAAAAATTCACGTACACATCGATCCGTGCATGACGGTGGAAACACGAATATTCAAATTCGGGCATTGATCGACGGACGAGACGACGAACGACGCGGTGACGGGCGACATGGCGGAAGGAGATTAAAATTCACGAGCGCAGCTTTTAAATCTGCCTCACGTTGGCACAACCATCGCAAATAATCGAACGCATTTCACCTTAAGTGAAGTACCCCATTCGGGGACCCGAACCCCGATAGCACTGAATAAACTTATTTTAGTCCGCCATTTTTTAAAATGGGTTTCCTTGTCGTCGGTTCGTAAACGATGGCGAAATCTTCACATCCTCATCTTTCCGAATTGTTGGAGAGAAACCAGGAGTTCGAGAAAGGCATTCCCTTCCCGCAGAAGACCAATCGCATCGAGGAATTGCTGAGGTGCCGGGACGTTTCCGAAGACGAGGCTGAACGCTTCGTGACGGGCACCGTGCATCATGCATCATGAAGTGATGACCCTGCAGGACGTGTTCCTCGCCATCAAACGAGAACTCGGATCGATCGTGGAGAGACCCTATCTGCTTACAAGAAACGCGTGCGAATCTCGGCAGAAACCCTGCTAACGGAAGCAAGTGCTCGAGGAATAAGCGCAGCGAGTCGAGCGTCGTGTTTATTCTTGTCATTCCACGAGTGTCAGGAGCCTTTTGATGTCATTTGCCTTCTCACTCCCTTCGATTCCACAATATATGTTTGGTGGGGATCTTGACAGCTTTTCCCTTTTCGTTAGGTAATTACAAGACAATCAGTTTTGATGCGCCAGTAAGGGCACAATTGGAATTTCTAATATCCTCTTCAGTACTTTTTTGTGAGATGTTACCTAAACTCATTCAACCTTTCACGCATTTAAAATTCTCGATTCCAATATGCTACAAACGGTAGTACCTCCTCGCCGTAAGGATATTAAAATATAAAATAATAAATTATTCGTGCGAAAGATTGTTATTTTACTCTTAATTGATCGCCAAGCGTGCGAAAAAAGATAAAACCCAATAAAGTAGAATAGTTAGCACATTCCCTTGCCCTTCAATCATTGGTATCTCAAAATTTGTAATAATGAAATTGAAATCCCTGAAAGGACGAGGTCCAATTGGCGTGAATTTTTCACATTTTCTGTAATTTAATCAAATGTGAGTAGGACTCCGAAGTGTTTTTTTTTTTTTGGCTCCAACATCTTTAACATTTCAGGAAAATATAGAATGTAGTAGTCACGGTGTTCGTTGAAACATTACGATGGCCTTGATGTAGCAACGTGTACTGTAATAATCCGGTTGCTGCCAAAACGCAAATATCTGATTGGAAAGAAAGTTCTCGGAATTTCATGAACAATTATTACAATCCAGTTTATTTAAAAGCAAAATCATCTCAATCATGAATGTAATCACCATTGGCCTCTATCACTTCACGCCAACGTTTATGCAAACTATGGATGCCATTCCAATAGAACTCTGGCGGCTGCGCTACGAAAAAGTTGGCCAAATCGGTTTTCAGGTCGTCT